CTTCCATGCAGGAGTGGCCGAAAAAAAATTACGGAATTTACCGTCCAAATGACGGAAATCACCGGAAAAATTGCGGAAATTGCCGGACACGGTTTGGATGTTTTGAATGTAGCAGTTTTTGCTGTTTCAGGGGCCTCTGGTACATTGGTACATGCAGGTTTCCTTTGATGTGGCCACGCCTGCTCCTATCAACTCCTTGGTTTCGAGCTGCGCCACTCTGTGTGAGGTGAGGGCTTTGAAGGCATGCCCTGCCCAACACATGATGTTGTGCAGCCCCCTGATGAGGAAGACACCCTTCTCCAGAGTTGCAGGAGCAAAACACAGCTAACTCGCTGTAGTAGTTGTTTCGATTCCTTAAGAGGGGCCCGCGCTGCGTTACAGGTTGTGTATGACTTCGGCCCAAACGCCAAATTTTTCTCACACCACTTTTGAGATGAGGGAAATTGTCAAACTGTCCAAATTTTGCGTGTCAGTTAAATGGCATTGTGCAGCCAACAAAGTTCTTATTATTGGGAGAATCAGCCGTGTCAGTAGACAGGTTGCAAGCAAGCAGGTGATCCTAAGGGCCATCGAAAGGTACGGTGTATCCTTGCACTTTCGCCGGAACCGACTCAAACAGCCTAAGTTTAGGTGAAAAACTACCTTTTGGTGTAAGAAGAGGCTGGATTTGGGATTGGAAGCAGCTGAAAAAATGAATATTGCATACCCTCCACTGGCTTGATCGCAGCAAATACAATTTTACAAAACAATGACGTTTCTTGGCTGAGATAACCTTTTTTGCCGGAAAAGAACACAATTACATTTTTTTCGCATACTTGGGGTTTCTAGGCAGGGAAGAAATCCCCGCGTTTGGAAGCGATGGTGTGGCCTTTTTCCAGCGACGTGTGGGTTTTCTGTGTGTGTGTGTGTTTTTTTTGGGGGGACAGGGAGAACATAACTTGCATAAGTGCATATAACTATAACTGCATAACTGATAGCTGACAGGTATAGCACGGTATAGCTGTGGGTTTGGACCAATGGTCCCACGGTGTTCCTTGCCTCTCCGGTCACCGAACCGGCTACGGTCACCTAACGAGCACATCCTCTCAGGGCGAGTGGGACACTTCAGTCCAGCCATTGGACATCATGGTTGGGCCCCCTCGAACTAATAACTACCAGCACCTTCCGTTCGTCCAGTGGTTTTTGGACTCCCCTTCTATCACCCCTAGAGGCCGGCTATAGACTTAGACACCTCTGTGTTCAGGTCCTGGTAGGTGGATCCTGACAAGCTGGGGGTGGAGTTCGCCCCCCCCTGCATGATCCAAAACGATCAACAACGGACGTGTTCTGGCTTCGGGGCTTCGGTGGCCAGGTGGTTCTCAAGCCGCACCTGGCGGCCCGTTGGGGTGCCGAAGGCTTGGTGCGGAAGCTGGTCCGCGATTTGACGGGAGCCGCTGGTCGAAGAGCAAGGAAGGGGATGGGACGTTGGATGGGAGGGTCATTCGTGCTTTCTGGCGAAGGAGGTTGCATCATGGGAACATGGATTGGATGTGATTTTCAGGAGTGGGACACGAGTGCTTTGGATGCATCTTCATCGGGTGCACGTGAGTGCATGGGGCCGTGTTTGATCCCAGACACCCCGTCGGACTGACACATGTATTACTACCGTTTTTTGGGGGTCAATGGACCTGGACCCGACTTCAAGGATTCTTTAGACAATGGGACATGGCCCTATACCAGGACAATTTAAGTGGTGGTGAATTGACATCCCGAATCACCTCTAAGGAGCTATAATTGCACACCCCTTAGGGGGCCCAGGAGTCAAAACCCCCCGAGGTACGTCGACTCGGCTCCGACCTCGTTCGTCGATTCGGCTCTCGTTCGTCCAACGAGGTTCTCGGGGTGGGTGGCGAAGCTCAACAAAGTGCAGAATACCCTCAGGCCGGTGGCGAAGCTCACCGTTGCGTCGGTCTTTGGACCTGGCGATCTTTTTGGCGATCTGGCGATCTCTTGGGATGGAAGGCGCATGACACGGCATCTTTCAAGAGGTGCGGTCAGGTAGAGCTATATAGAATACCTTCTTTTTGTTGTATCTTCTCTTCTATGTATGCATGACATCCTTTTCTTCTTTCTTTGTTTCTATAACAGCAATGGTCTCCAACCCTTTGCGGACTGCATTCCCTACCGTTCCCTACTGCATTCTTCCAGGTGGTCCGCTACGAGCGAGGACAGCGCTTTGACCTGCACGAGGCTCTGCGGCTTCTGCGGTTCGTCGGCGGCGGCTTTCCGACGCGGCGGACCCGTCCCGTCTCCGCGCCAGGATGCCTTCGCATGGGAGCAGGCGAAGGAGGTGCGTGTCGTAATTGACGGGCTTCCAATGTCAATGTCAGCAGATGATCGAAGAGATCGAAGGGATTGAGGATCGAAGGTGGCCAGGCATGGCATTTAGGAAGTTGTGCTGGCCAATCTGTCGTCCACCCTGTCGTTCGGTGAACAAAGTCGCACCATGTTGCACCTGAAATGGTTCCTATTAATGATGCTGGTGAGTCATGGACCTCAAGATCTACAAAAAGACACGAAACGCAGCCTGAACTCACCAGTTCACCGTTTTAGCCATCATCAATTCCTCCCTTTTTGAGCAGCTTCCCAAGAGGAACAGTACCAGCGTCAAGCGACCTTGCTGATCTACCTCAATGACGTCCCACTGGGCGGTGCCACCAGGCGCGCCACGGGGGCACCGCGCGCATATGCGGGCCATGCGCTCGCGGCGGCGCTCGGGGCGGCAGAGCGGCGACGAGGTTTCCGGACTTGGACTTGGAGGTGCGTCCCAAGTGTGGCCAAGGGACGCTCGGCTTGAGCCAGGAAGAGTCGGGAAGGGAAGGAGGGGGCCTCCTTTCCGGGCGGAAGAGCGAACATGGAATGGATGGACTTGAATTAAGGGTATGATGGATCCAAAATGAAGGGCACCTGGCCGGCGGAGAAACAGGGACCTGCCAGGCAGCCGACTGAAGCATCGGCATGAAGGGCCATTTCGTCAAGACCGAATGCCGCACTCATCCGAAGAGTTCCAGATCAAGGGGATCTATGTCAGACATATTCTCTTCATCCATCCCATAACCCCCAAAACACCTGGATGCTTAGACGCATGGTGGGCAGTTGAGTCCGGAAACCACTTGAGGCGTGGCCACGCCCGTTTTCGGAACATGATCACCCAGACGCTGTGGGCACAGCCGCTGCGATCACCCAAACAAGCAGAAAGAAAGGAATGTTTTCCCAAACAGATTACTAGTAAATTACAGTAATGTGCCACTTAAACAAATTCCTTAATATATGATAATATATGTAAATGTGTAAAAATCCTGCATGTAATCTCAATTGCCACATTGGAACAACATGGAACAACATGCATGGAACAACCATGTGTTGTATCAGGGCAATTCATGGACTAAGCACATATATCAAGTGCACCAGTTCGATGCGCACTCGAGGCTCCTGTTCTTTCCAGCGTTCCGGGATGGCCGGAAGCCCAGAACAGACCAGGAATTGTTGCAAAAAGGGAGCTCCTGGCATTACGACTGGTAGCAAGAAGCTACGAACGGAACAAAGGGCATCGCTACGAACGGAGCAAGGACGCTACTAGGGGCTCCTGGCCTTACTACTAAAGGAGCAAGGACGCTAGGGCCAAAGAAAAACCTCCGAATTGGACGCTGGGACCGCGCTCAGGCTCACCGGATGAGCCAGAGCCCCGGGCAGCCCCGAGTTGCCTCGTGTTGTTCAGCAGCATCCGCTGTGGGAAATCGAGAAATCTGAAGCTGATCGGACACCCCCCAAAACTACATCTCCATGTTCAAAAGGAAAATCTGAAGCCGGAAACTTTTTGATAGGTGGAGGCCATTGCTATTGGGTTGCGAGGCCATTACTACTATAGTATCAAGAAGCTACTAGTAGCTATAGAAGCTACTAGGTGGAGGCCATCGCTCTTAGGTTGGAGGCCATCGCTACTAACAATACAGCCATGCCATTTGTCGGGTATACTAGAGGCGGGTGAAACATTCGGCTGAAGCAGCTGTGGATGAGAAGTGGTTGGCGCAGGCACGCTACGTGCATTCCATTGAAGTGATAGTTTTATTGCCACATGTTCGATTGGATGTGAGTTCTTGATGCGTTTGTTCGTTCCAGTTCTGCTTCGTGGATCATTTGCGCGGATCAGATTTATGCTGAAGTGGATCCTTTGCAATTCAGGTCTGGTTGGGGAAGACTGGATGGACTCCGCCCGTGGCCAGAGCGCAAAAAGCAACAAGTCGTCGAAGCGGCAAAAGGTCCAAGGAACGAGAAGGAAGGAAAAGAATGGAACAATTAAGGGATTTGGACCAAAGAAAGGATTTGGATGGACTTGGGCTTTTGGAAGAAAAGGTCCATTTTGAGGTCAAAAAAGGGCCCCAAAAGGCCAAAGATCCATTAAGGACAATCGGTCATCAATTGTGTCATCCTGAATAGACTACCCTACATTGGACCTATTGGACCTTCATTGGGGACCCATTGGATGATTTTGCCATATATAAGAAATATGCCTTGGGAACAGCCAATATAGGCTTCTCCAAAATACCCGTAGTTTTCACTGAAAACCCGGGGTTGGCGCTTGTTGTTTTTCTGTCAGCACGTCGTGCCGAATAATGGGTATCGGTCCGATCATGGTGGAACCGGGACGAGTCAATCGGAGGTTCTACCTGACGCCTAAGTTCCTTTCCCGACGCCGCGTGATCAACGGAACGAAATGGAATGACAAACGCATGGACAACCACCCGGTTCGTTCGGCATGCAAAGGGATACAATCATTACTTACCTCAGCAGGCAGACTGGGAGAATAGCCGGGGTTTATCGGTTGGTCCGCATACCCGTTGAAGAACAGTGTCCGGCTGGCAGGGTGTATATAAGACGCCTCAAGTGAAACGGTCATTGAACAATATTGAACATGCGGCGACCACCACGTCTTGTTCGCCTTTGAGCGAGAGGGGTGGTCTTCCCCTGCCCACCCAGCTGCTCAGCTAGCACCAACGCTTATCCGAAGAGGCTCGCCGCTGTCCAGCAATTCAGGCTCAGTCAGCCGCCAATTCAAGCGCTCGAGTTTGATCCGCCCCAAAGTCGTGTTTTCGCGGATGCCGGAGGGCAACGAAATCCAACAGCATGAGCTCCCGCATGTGCCAAGCAATGTGAGGAGTCCCAGTGAACGATTTCGGACGCACGACGCGTGCCCTTGCCCTCCATTCCGAAACTGGATAGAACGACTGGAGCCACCGAGTTCCACGGCGGGGTTGGTTCGAGTTTCATCCACTTGAGTGGGGTCTTGCAAGGACCTTAAAGAACGGCACCTTGATCATGGAACTGAAGGATCGTTTATTGTTTGCCTCTTCCAAGTTCTCAACTAAAGAGTGTTGCACTGTTGCACCAAGTCGTTCCTCGCTGCCTTGCTCGGGTCCTCGCGGATGGAACCGGTGTGCTGAGGATGGGGATGATGAGATCATGCCTGCGCGGGGCTGAGAAGCCAAACGAGAGAGGGAGACCCACCAGACTTTGTCGCATCCGACTGACACGACCAGCCCCGACGTGAAAGTGCTACAGTACCAGGACACTCCATGGCTGCCATATATATGCCGATCAGTTGGGGTGGTTTGAGGGGTCAATGTTGGCAGTCATTGGCAGTCCCATGGAGTGTCTGGGGTATATATCTTGCTTGGTCCATTTCCTCCCCTTCCGAAGTCGTTGCCTCACCGCCCGATCTGTTTTTCGAATCCACTCCGACCACTCCAGGTGGTCTTGAACAGCCAGAAGGAAGACAAGCTTCAAGCGTCGGGCGAAAAACGAACCATGGCATCCTTTTGCAAGCTCTTCTCCATGATGGATGCCGTGGATGCGTTGGTCCTGCTGATCGGCGTCATAGGCCGACCATGTGTCGCGTGTCCGATGCGTGACCAACCCGACCGGGTCGTTGTTCCGGAATCTGCCTATAGCGGCTATAGCGCTTCTTGTTACTAGTAGTAGGCCCTTGTTCCTAGCAATGCCCTTTGCTAGTAGCGTCCTTGCTCCTATAGTAGAATCTTATAGCTAGCTGGTTTCAAAGATGAAGGATTTTATTGAGGCACGCCTTTTTCTTACGGAAGATCCATGGTATAGAAGCCTATCAGGGGTTCGTTCAGCCGGGGTATTCGTCATCCACTACACCCTGTTTTCGTCCGGTGAATGCGCGAACAGAGTTCCCGGTAGAACGCCCCCCCCCCGCGAAGAGGTGCCGTGGGGAATGGCATTTCGCAGCCCTTGATGTGCATCGTCTTCGGCGATCTGATCGATGGCATGGGGATGTCCCTCGACGTCTTTGGAAGGATTCGGGTCAAAACCGCGGCGACGTGCGGCGTTTTCTTTGTTTTCTGACTCGGCAGGTTGCTTCTGACTCGGTGAGGGGAGGGTTTGGGTTGCAAGGATGAAGGTTCTGCAGCTCGTTCGGTCGCCGTCGACTTGGAGCGGTCGAAGGTCGGTGTTTTTTCGGAAGATTGGGGTGGTCACCACTGGGTGGTATGCGGTATGCTTGCAACGTTCAGCGCTGCTCACACTCCAGCAGTCACGACTCATTCAGCCGAGTTCCGGCAAGACAGAAAAGGGGATGGGTCAAAACCTGGAGCGCTGGTTCACATGACCATGTACAGCTTGAGCTTCCAGGTAGGTCAACTATCCTGGTTTTGATCCCCATTTTGGTTGAAGGACATGGAGTCAGTCAGGTCGTTCGTGGGCCGCACATGTTCCATAGACTCCGTGAAAGCACCATATGGTTTCATATATTATCGTGGAGTGAGAAGCAACCGTTTGGTATTGGGATTTCCCCTAGGCCTCCAGTCGGACCTTCTGAGGTGTTTGGGGTGGGTTTGGAGGGTCCAAATACCTTCTGAGGAGGTACTTGGAGGTGTAGGGTTCATGGTCATCAGAAATTTTGCAGCCCTTTCTTAGATGGTCCTTCAATGGAAAGGTTCAAATCGATTGGCGCATGAGATCGGGGTTCTTCTCTCACTGTCCAATTTTCTATTAATTAGCTGAGCTCGCCCCACGAGGACTCTTGAAAAACTCATAACCAGATGGAAAGAGTCTTCGCCATCTCAAGCTAATCGCGGAACCAGTCACGGTCTAAAAGGCACGGTCTACACCCACCGATCATCCGACCGTCATCTACCCAGGTCCACCCCTGGTGACTTCAGCGGCTTAACGGCGGAGCAGACCGCCGCACTGATGGACCAAGCAATGAGTGGAGCCTGAGACGCCACCCAACGCGCGCGGCGCGGTGGACTGCAGCGGGGTGAGCGCCAAAGAACATCAAAGAACGCGATGATGATGGGACTGACAGAATGACCAAGCACCCAATGGCTCGAGACATTATTGTGTCGACAAATGGATGCAAATGGCACATGTTTGGTGTTGCCATTCTGTGTCATTGATTGAGTTACATTCTATCGATACCCAATCACCCGCAACAGTGGATTGATGGTTAGTGGCCTTCCCCCCAAAAAAGTATCCTTTACCGACTTATACTGGCTTACTGAAATACACCCTTTGTATATTGATGTGCATCTGGTCTATTCTGTGTCGTCGACATGTCATATGGTGAGACCTAACTGGCACCCTGAAACGTTAAGCTGGTGGTTTATAGACACCCCTGACTTTTATCTTGTCCTTCCAACCATCCACCTGTCCCCACGAGTTGGTGTTTTGCCTCGGACATAACAGCACACAACAAACATTGACACACACTTGAGAAGGTTGCTCCGTGGAGCGTGATTTCAGGTAGCTTC